CACACACACACACACACACACACACACACACACACACACACACACGTTGTGTTGTTTGAATCTCACTAGCTGAACCTCTACATTGGGTTCCTCCCCCTTTACACTTGAAATCGTCCAAAACCGTTCTTCATTCACACCCAGTCCAAAAAACAACCATCCAGTCTTTACAGCTCGAAACCACAACGTGTTAACTGAGAGAAGACAAAAAAAGGAAAAAAACACCAAGACCATAAAGGCACAATACTAATTTGTCCGACTATGGAAGCACAGGAGAAAAAAAAAGGGGGTGACTCGGTGAATTGGGACACAAACACGAAAGTGCCCGTACCACACTAAGCGTAAAACAGGCGAACAAAGCAGACATCATTTTAATAGTTTATTTGTTCTGGTGTATCCACATTTTATTCTGTTGTTAACCCGAACTGCTGCGTTACAGAGAGGGCAAGACATGAAGAGACAAAGCATGCCACTTCCTACTGTCCGATAATGGATCTTGTGACGTTACACTGTTAACTAGCAGCTAAAGCTAACGCACAGCCAGGTTCATCATCAGCTTCGCACAGCCATACCGGGCTCTAAGTCTCCTTTAACTCTGTCGGGGAATGTAAACCAAAGTCCAAACCGTATAGTATAAAACCCATATAGTCTTTGGGCCCCGCGTTGTTGCTGCAGGCAACACAGACAAAAACAGTCAACTCACCCAAAAGATCCCACCGCGCTGTCGAGCAGATGATGCTGCTGCTGATCAGCGGTGAAGGTCCATTAGGACAGCTCCTGCGGTTGGGCTCATCCGGTGTTTGTGGCAGTAAAATCAGGCAATCCAAAACGTGGATCTGATTTGATGGTTGTCTGCTCTCTGACAGCATATGTGTGTGTGTTTATGTGTGTGTGCCTTCAACAAGGCCCGCTGCTAGGAGGAAATGGTCTCCGCGGGAGGCGCATGCGCAGAGGAGAAGCAAAGCCAACGGGGCTGAACGGTCCGCGAGCACAACCACGTGGCCAACAGGTGAAGACTTGTTACACCACCTTATGTTTCACATTAGAAACAGTTTTCTGCTTTGTGCATAGGCGTAGGAACCGGAGACGGGTGCATTTGTCCCACACCACGGAGGAGAAAAATACTTGACTTTGAAATCTTTAACTCGCATGCTTTTATTTTGAAGGCGCAACACAGCCTCTTTTCACTGCGCACCCGGCCTCCCTCTTAACAGTCAGAAACTCTTTAGAAAAAGGTAAAACTGTCTGTCATTGATGTTGCAGTGAATATTTCTCGTTTATAACATCTTATTGTCAGTTTACTTTCAAATATAGAAACTGAATATTTTTGACTCAGTCATTTTAATCCTGGGATGCTCACTCGTCTGTATTAGGTAACAGTGTTTCCATCCAATTTTTTTTTTTTTTTTCAAAATTTGAGCGAATTTTTAAAAATTTTGCTCTGATGAAGGGCTGTCCATCAGGTCAACCAATGCCCCCCCWCAWAAMYMAAAARCCCCCCCCCCCAAGCCACTACAATTTTGGGATGCACCTAGTAGCATGACATTTATTAGGAATAAAGACTTCTGAGTTCTGGTGCATTTGTATGTGCAGGGGTCATTATGTTACCACTATGTGGTATCTAGTAATCAGCTGTTTTATACACAACCATGGTGAAGTCTCTAAAGCAACTTCAGATCTACTTTCAGGGTAATTTGGTTGGATTCTGCCTCGTAAATATAGTTTTTGTTGCAAATTTCTAAAGAAACCAAGGTGCAAAAATTGTTCAGATTTATATCAATTGAACAAGTTCAAACTGCTTATAGCCTCTTTATAAAATCCAAATAAGACTTCAATAAATAGCTAATAAGTCAGTCAATAAATGAAACCCTTCCATCTTGCCAAACTTCCATTTTTACTTTAAACATGATTATCTGTTTTTGTTTGATTTTACTAAATTAGCACAAAGCCTTAAAACGAGATCAAGAGTTTGTCACAGCGGTAGAAGTGTCAAAAAAGTGTAATCCGGAGGATTTTCTACATTCAAATAGGCGTTAATCCTTCAAAAATAAATCTGACTTAAGATGTTTAAATCCCTGGAATGTGTATTTAAAGTTTTGCATGAACTGAGAAACTTCAGAAACAGACAAAWAAATCCTGTAGGAATGTCTGATTTCTCATTTTATACTTAATTTTTGTGCTTCAAACAGTTCAAATAATGTCCAAACACACATGTAGCTTTTTACAAGGTTTGTTCCTGAGGTGTATAAAAATAAACACAAACACATTGATTCCATAGAACATTTGCAGCAGTAGTACAGGTGCTACAACATTACAGTACTTGACAAAAAGCACCTTTTTGTGAGGATTGAAATGGCTCAAAAAAAAAACCCGACAGAAACATCAACACGAACTTTAGAAAATTACTGAATGTGCATCAGCAGACACCTTTAAACTTTGTCCAGCTGAAATCGAATGGAAACAGGAACTGTGTGTTGCTTTCACTGACCACAGCATGTTATAAATATAATCACATCAGCATAGAGGGGTTATCAAAAGATGGGAAAGAACCAGAAAGTTTCCTTACAAAAATAAGACATGTTGCATGCAAACATGCTCACATAGTTCATTTATCTGGTAGACGATCACAAATGTGTCAAAACCTTTTATAAAAATTGCTACAAAAGACATGTTTCTGTCCCATAGCTGCCCTAACACGTGCAATACATTTGACTCACTAATAAATAAATAAGCAAATAATACTGGAAATTCCTATGCTGGGTGAAGAGGGATGACAAACTTGCATCCAAACGGTGAGTGATAGCTAATGCCAACTTCTAAGTAGACCAGCTTGGGGATGCCGACGTCACAGAGGTAGAGTCTGCTCTCGTTCTCTGCTAACGGTAGTGGAAGACCCACAGACAGGGTCCACTTTGCTTCCACTGTCGGAGGCTGCTCGCTGACTGGTGGGTCGATGCTCAGGACTGGAGCTCGATTCCTGTTGGCCCAGTCAGCAGCTGACTGGTACCAGGACTGCTCCTTCAACAGTGGGTTCTCATGGCCGTCGAGGCAGTTGATGACCAGATCGACGGGACTTGCTGGTAGTTCTGGGACACGTGCAGAGGAGGAGAAAACAAAAAACACGATTGTTACTTTAGGAAGTCATGGTTATAAGCAAACATAGTAGCTTGTTTCACTGAAGCCCGTTTTCTTCTCGTGTTAAGTTTCATTTGCTAACTATATTTCAGAGATGAAATTGTGAAGTGCTCCAAAATACTGTATTTGTCAGTCTGATCTTCCAAGTGCAACAATGCAAGTCCACTAGAGGGCAACATTTGCCTGTGATAGCCTGACTTACTGGGACAAATGAATGAACACTAACAGATACTCCCATCATTCAGTAGGAAACTTCCCACCATAGAAACTGAAAGGAAAACATTGAGGAGTTGTACCTCTGACACTGGCCACCAGCAGACCACTCGTCCTGCTGTAGAGGCGAACTTCACTGGTGACTGAATCCTCCATCTTGACAAAGCTGGGCAGGAACAAAACAACGTCCACTTCATGATTGGCCAGGTGTCTACCGCAGCTGATGCCATGGGCTCCTTGAGTGTGGGGCCCACACAGGACCACGACTGCGGGCCTCTGGTGAGCGTTTTTTGGAGTGAGCCTGCGAACGTTGGAAACATGATGAAGACGCATAAAACTCAACAATCAACTACTGCTTTGAACTGCTTATGTTATCAAAAATAACATCTAAAGCATTTTAGGAGCACTTCAATCATGTCTGCGACGCACAGTAGTTCCCAATGCGTTTTAGGCATTTCTGACATCTGTTTTGTTTTCCACTTCTGAGTTTTTCAGAAATCTATCTGATCTGTAACAAATTCATTCTACAGCATCTATCTAAAATAAAAAATATAGCCCTTTCACCCCATCAAAACTTTCTAAGAAAACTTTTTCAYAACAAACAAATAAACATTAACAATATGTTTTGGATGAGGTTGTCAGCAAGTGAAGTTTTACTGATATTTGCAACTAGCCAGTTGAAACCAGAAGTTTACATACACTATATAAAAAGACACATGCATATTTTTCACACTGACGTGAAATCAGAATAAACTTTTCCCATTTAAGATCAATTAGGCTTTTCAATTTTTTTTATTAGCTAAATGCCAGAATAGAATAAAGAAGAGATAACTTTTTATGGCAATTTTTATTTTTTCTTCAAAGTCAAAAGTTTCAGTACACTTCATTAGTATTTGGTACCATTGCCCTTAAACTGTATGACTTGGGTGAAACTTTTTGGACATCCTTCCACGAGCTTCGCACAATAGTTGGCAGGAGTTTTGGCCCATTAATCTTGACAGAATTGGTGCAACCGAGCCATGTTTGTAGGCCGCCTTGCTCACACTTTTCAGCTTTGCCCATAAATATTTGATAGGTTTGAGATCCGAGCTTTGTGATGCCCACTCCAAAACACTGACGTTGTTATCCTTCAGCCACTTTGTAACGAGTTTGGCAGAATGTTTTGGGTCGTTGTTCACTAGAAGACCCATTTGCGCCCAARCTTTAACTTCCTGGCTGATGTCTTGAGATGTTGCTTCAGTATTTCCACATAATGTTCTTTTCTCATGATGCCATCAGTTTTGTGGAGTRCACCAGTCCCTCCWGCAGCAAAACAACCCCACATTATAATGCTGCCACCCCTGTGTTTCACAGTCAGGATGGTGATCTCAGGCCTGCAAGCTTCCTTCTTTTTCCTCCAAACGTAACGATGGCCATTATGGCCGAACGGTTCAAATTTAGTTTCATCATACCACAGGAAATGTCTCCAAAAGTGAAGGTCTTTGTCCCTGTGTGCATTTGCAAACATTAATCTGTCTTTTTTATGTTTCTTCTCTTCCTGGCAGAGTGGCCTTTCAGGGACACAGAACCTGCCTCTCTCCTGAGCGGTATGATGGCTGGACATCTTGTTTGATGTCGTATAATTCTTTGTACAGATTAACGAGGCATCTTCAGGCATCTGGAAATTGCAGCCAAGGATGAACCTGACTTGTGCAGGTCCAACTTTCTCTTCCTGATATGTTGGCTGATTTCTTTCAACTTTCCCATGATGTTACACAAAGAAGCAGTGTGTTTCAGGTGTGCCTTAAATTACATCCACAGGTGTGTCTCTAATTACCTCAGATGTAATCAATAAACCTATCAGAAGCTTCCAAAGACATGACATCAAATGTCCCAAATTGGTTAAAGGCATAGTAATTAGTGTATTCAAACTTTTGACTTTGAAGAAAGTCATAAAAATTGCATTAAAACATTTCTCTCTCATTATTTTGGCATTCAGCAAAAAAGAAAAAATGTTGGTAATCCTAACTGACCTAAAACAGGAAAAGTTTATTCTGATTTCACAACACACAGTGTGAAAAAAAATACATACGTGTTTTTTACAACATTTTCTGTTGGCAACTTGTTGGTTTAAAATTAAAACAATACAACCTGTAATATGTAAAGTTCATCATTATTGTTTCCTACTGATATTTAATAAAAATTAGGCTTAAACCAAAGACAAAGCTGAAAAAAATAAAACTTACAAAATGTTACTTTAAACAGCAAAGAGGTCAAATCCCAAATTATATGGTTTTATCAAACAGTGAAAAGATACAGTATGTTTTTTGTCATTAAAATGTGTTTATTTATTTTTCAATAAGAAAAAAGCGCTATCTTTTCAGCCAGTAATATACTATTTTTTATTCTATTTTCTTATTTCTATAAAAAGTGAAGCTCCTTAGAAAATACATTTTTGGTTAAAATGTTGGTGCATTAATTATAAATAACTAATACAGTCTATATCTGCAAGATTTTCAGAATGGTTATGTCTTTTTTTATATTTAATATAGACTATGTCAAAGGTGATTTGAGGCAATCAGAGAAACACTGGCGCACCACTTTAGTTTCTTTGATCTTCCTCTTACAAAGCAAAACTAAACTTGATCTGTGCTCAGACTAGTTCCACTGTAAACCTGAAACTCTCAGGCACTACACAGTGCTAAATTGATGAAAAGGATCAAAGACAATAAACCTGTTTGTYATATGAGCTACTGCACCGCTGTTCTGTGATCCTAAATAAGACTTCCTCACCAATAAAAACAACAGGTAAGCAGAACCAAACAGCCCAGCTTCAGTTAATAAGGATGTTAAAATGCTGTGCAAACAATCAACACCTATAAAGTCAAAATTAAACATCCAACCCATAAAAGCATGAGCTTTAAGAATTTGATTGTGAAAGCTGGCAGATGTTTTTACACTGCCATAAAAGAAAACAAGTTGGGAGCTCATGGCTGGCTTGTCCTGGAATGTCCCTATATCTACTCAGACAAAGAAGTCTGGCACACTGTTGCACATTCTTCTTCTTATTTTACAAATGAATAACCATACTCACTCAGGCTTCCACGCTGCAGTGAAGCTACGATCAGTTTCCCTTACCTGTTTGGTCCACCAAGCAGTGAGAGAGCCATCTGACTGGAACAAACTCCAATCATCTCTAGCCTGCGCTCCAGAGTCAGRCCCCAGCGCTCGGCAGTCTCCAACAGGCGCTTATGAAGCTTATAGGGAATGCTGGGAACAACCAGGCCTGCATCTGCACAGCAAAATAAATATGGCACATGTAAGTTGAGGTTGTGCTATGCTTTTATTTTATTTACCGTTAATTAACCAGGCAAGTCCCGTTGAGACCTCAAATTTCTTTTTCAAGGGAGGCCTGAGCCTGAAGGCAACCTATTGTACATGTTTTTGGGGGTGGGGGGGGGAAACGAGTACCCGGAAAAAACCCATGCAAGCATGAGGAGAACATGCAAACTCTGCACAGAAAGACCCCAGCTCTGAACTGGGGATTGAACCCAGGACCTTCTTGCTGTGAGGCGTCGGTGCTAACCACTGAGCCGTCGTGCTATGCTAAAAGCAGAACGTAATAACAAAAAATCCCAGATAAAGTGGCCTAAATTAGACAAGAAACATGGCACACAGTCAGGTTTGCTTCAATTCAACCGCTGATCATTGCCAGCAGCCTACAATGGTCCTAATGAGAGTCAAAGCTATTCTTTGGAGAAAAGCCTTTCCTCCTCCTGACCTGATCTTGTTTCCATTCGGGAAGATTCTCTATTTCCTCTCCCGTTTGTCACTGCTGTCTGAGACAACAAAAGAGAGATAGGCAATCTTTACAAAACATGGCAAACATGAAGCACTCGGGGTGAGACGCCTAGTCCCCGTGGGCGTCGAGTTCACATGCACCATCACATGGTTGCTTTTTTTTTCTGCTGTGGGACAGGGCTGCCCTGAGCTGGACCCCCCACACTGGCTGCTGTTTCAGTCAAAACACACAGCGGGTTAGCGTGACAGAAACAGAACAAACATCATACACATCGGAACACCTGCACCTGTGTCTCCACCGCTCGGAGTGAGAGACTAAAAGGAGGCCTGTGGGTGCCTGGGTGAAAAAAACAAAACAAAAATAAAATTCTACACAGTATCGTAATCGTGTTTTTTAATCAAAAACAAGGACGACARTAAACACAAACTGCTATTTATAGGTAGTATCTTTTAGAAGTTCTTGTCTCTAAGTTACTTCAATTTGATTTGTTTTTCTTTGTGAAGTTAAAGATATAAACAAAGGTTTTTATTTTCTCAGCTTTCCCAAAATATGACAAAGTAACTKTTTACCATAAGAGTTAAAAGGCAGCTGCAAAGGGACTAATGTAAAATAAGACAGAAACCAGAGACGAACTGATCAGTTTCATAMAGTTCTGACCTGTTTTGTTTTGTTTAGATTTCTCTCCAAGAACTGCTTTGGCCAGAATACAAAGTTATAGTTGAACTGAATTCTTGTTCAGAATATATATGATTTTATCCAACTAAACACTAACATATAAAACACTCTTTCTCCATCACTTGAAATCTACAATAATATTTTAGATTATTGAACAGAGGTACTTGTACAAATAAAGCTTGACAAAAAATGTATGTTTCTAACATTTTTTTTTAAATGTGACCTATGATGCTACTTTATGCTTTAAGATATTCGAACACATGACTGAACTTTTCTTTCTACAAGTCCTTCATTTAAATTAAGTTGTGGTAAAGAACAACATAAAGTTTGAAACAAAATAAAATAAATTTACTAAATCATCCAGTTAATATTGTTACGATGCAGGGCAAGCTCCTGCCAATATATTTTAACATTTGTTAACATGTTCAATTATTCTAGGTTTTACACAAAAAGCTGAAGTTAAATATGCCATGTGGCGACTGGTATTTTAATGAAAAACCCTCATTTGTTTTTTACTGAGCAGTAAATAAACATACAATAACTTGGTAGAAAAATCACTWTTTCCTTTTAGTTGCCTCCACCTTTTGTACTTCCTCAAGACTTCCTTTATTTTTATCTTTTACAAATATTACATACAATAAACATCTTTACTTAATAAAAACATCCACAATATGTGATGTTGCTCATGTGAAGCAGTTCATAGAGGTGACTTTATGCATCTTATATAAACAAGTTGTAAAAACTGAAGCTTTCAGGTAGGCAGAAAAAGTGAAAGCATTTCTCATACATCTTTCATATTTTTGTAAATAAAGAACATAAAGTATCAGTATGTTTAAAAAAATGCACACACAAACAATCAGC